TACGTGATCATTTTCCTTAATTTCTCCACTGTAGTAATTATGGTTTTGTTAGACAGTAAATGATTCAGTGTTCTCATTCCATGGGGGGAAGGGGAGAAAGGATGTTGAAAGAGGAGCATTGTCTGAGCGTAGCAGGATTAGCTGGTGTTACCACCTTGCACTGATTGAGCACCACTGTTTAGAATAGATCATCAACTCTAATTGCTAAAAAGCAGCCTGGCGTCACAGGGCGGTGAGACTCCTGAAGTTTCAGGCTTCTCTATTGCATGATTTGAATATAGGTGTAACATCTAGGCTGATCAGTTGTAGTTCACTGGACTTCCTTCTGCTCTGTGTAAGCCCATACCCCTCTGTTTTCTGTCATTGCTGAGTTTGTCTTCTCTCTTGCACTCTCAATGGTCAGAACATCCAGATTGGATTTGCATGATGAGGATCGATTCTAGTTTACTCTCAAGAAATTAGGAGAATCGTATGAAAAAGGAATCTCAGAATCCATTTTTTGCATTTTTCTAGGGAATTCTGTTTCTCCAATGTACACTTGTTTAATCACAAACAAGCAGGGCCTCTTGGATTTCATCACAGAGGTGTCTGCAGTCAGGATTATTGTCCAGGCATTCCAAGTGAGGAAAAATTGTTGCTCCTTGATTGAACTTGTCTTGTTTCTGCAAACCGTAAATCTAGAGTTAATTCCTACTCTGAATCCACAGAAGGGCCTCTCTTGTGTATTTGCAAGACCTGCTGTGTCTTGAAAAGTAGGATTTCTTTAAAGTCTTCTTTTAAAACTGTCAGAAGAGAGAAAAGATTAAATGGGGGGAGGAGAGGGTTGAAAGAGGGGAACAGTTTTGTGATATATAGCAAGATGAGGAATTACTGAAGTAATGCAATACCAGTGCCAGCCTCCTACCAGAAAACCTGTTCTGTGAAGCTGGCTGGGGCTGGTCCATCAAATACTCTGCAAATGAGCAGGAAAACTGAGCTGGTGGCTCTGCAGAAGAAAATTTCTCATGTGTTGGGATGAGTTAACCTTTGCGAGTAGTGCAGGTGGTAGCAGAGCTTTGCCGTGGTTGGGATGGAAAAGCTATGAGTTTGGGTAGCATAGTGAGGAAAGAAAATGGTAGTGTGTTGAGCTGATGAACTGGAGTATGGTGGTGGTGGGCTGTATTTACTCTTCAGTCTGTTCTAACGTACAGATTATCTGTGAAAGGTGAAGGCATCCCTGCACCTGAGCTGATGGTTGCCATCACTGCAGCAGAGGTGTCAAGGAAGAAAAGCATGCATCAGTGATCAGCAGCTTAGCTTACTCTCATGTGTCCTTTAAAAAAGAAAAAACAAAACAAAAAACAAAACAAAAAAAACACCACCAAAGAAAACACCCGACAACTAAAGATTCCTGACATCACATTTTGAGACACTACAAAAGATCACGACGTACAAGAACCTTACTGTTGTTTATGGCAAAAGGGTCTTGGCTGAAAAGAAACCGAAGCTTTGCTTTCTTTTGACAAGAATCACATTTCCTCAGTAGGGCCTCCTCAGCATGTGGATGCACAACCATGACTAGCTTAGGATGTAGATAAATATAGACTACAAGTGAACAGAAACAGTTGTAGCTGGGAGAGGGCCAAAAGAATGTCTCAGCAGCAAGTGTTTTTGTTTGTAATTTCTTTCCTAGGAATGAACAAACACTAGCACCATTTTAAAGCTAAATTGTCAGCTCTCATTTGCTTTGCTAATGCTTTCTTTGTAGTGCTGTGTCTTGCATCTGTGTAGAGAGGGGTTGTGGTTCTTGAGTTGTTTTTTCAGCTAGCTGGAAGAATTTAGCACACCAAATGTCACCAAGTGTTGAATTTATGGAAGCAGGGTTGATGATTTACCAGGTTTATGTAGTAGGAGTGAATGGTTCTTGAGATTGCAGTCCTATTGTCTTGGTTCTCTTCCTGTTGCTGTAATTTATGATATTCGGTGAGGAAGTCTGCATTTATGTTCGGATCTAGCCATTTCCATTTCCTGTAAATCAGCAGAAAAGGAATAGGGTGAAAGAAAATTTCTCTCTTAGTGAATCTTTGGTTTCTGCCTCAGTGGATTGATACCAAATTTGGACTATGTATGACCAGAGAAGAGGCTTTCTACAATAAATCTGTTCCACTCGTGCAGCCTATTAAAGGGACACTTGCTTCCAAGACTTGAGATGTCAATTTGGGCATAACTATCGTGGTTGTAGTAATCGGATCATAATTTTATTGAGATGACTTTACATCTGTCACCCGTGACTACACACAAGCTTTTTTTCTGACAGCCTTAGTCCCTGTGTCTTGCTGGAGCTTTATTTCAGATACTTGTATTCTGTTTCTAACCTGCATGCATGGCTATCCTTAAAGAACTCTAGTTAATCTGTTTCTTCTAACCTTTTCACTCCCTACTGCCTAGTTCCACTTCAGTAGGGCTAGTCTAAAAATTTAAGCATTACGCTTTCTAATCCTGTAGGCAGGTGCCTGAGATTGTCAACCTGTTTGTCAAAACAATGGTTGATTTTTTTTTTTTTTTTTTTTTTTTTTTTTTAACAAAAACTTTTTTTGGAAATTCAGCAGTGGGAAGACACACTGCTGCAGGGAAGTCCCAGGAATTTATCACCTTTATTTCTGTTGCTTGAATTTTGCTACTTGGAACTTTCCTGCTCTTACCAAATAGCATTAGGCTTTTTATTAGCTTACGCTCAGACAATCCTTTTTTCAAGCAATAGTGTAAATGATCTGCATTGCGTGGTAGTTAAGGTTGCGAGTAGTGTTTTGCCCTGAGTTACCTTCTTGTTTTTCAGTAGTATTTCACCTCAGCTTCAAATTTCCAAATGCAAATCTGTGGACCATAAGCCTTGCATTTGTGTGAGGTTTGTTTTATTGGGAGAATATTAGTGTGGGGCAAGTGATTACAGAGAATTCTTTGCTTCCCAGTACGTAAAACAGAATGTGATACTTAAATTGAGAGTGGTGGTATTTGTTTGTAATGTACTAGTATTCCTTAGTAATTCCATTTTCTGTGGCAAATGTTTCATTATATATAGTGTGTAACTGCCAATGTCAAGAGTCCAATTAAATCTTGTGGAGAAATTAATCACAAAATAACAAGCTGCAAATAAATCTGTGGGTTGGCTTATAAGGGAAAATCCCTCCCCCTTTCTGTGCAGGTTTGTTTTTCCTGAAGTGGCAGTCACCCTGGTCTATTTGCTACCCAAATGAACAAATGCGGGGCATTAAAACTGCCTCTGGAAATGGAGAGGCAAATCTCCAGAAAAGCTGGTGGATTTTGTAGCTCATGCAATCGATCAAAATGTTATCCTTTTGGCATATAGTCTTTGTATAGATCTTTTTTGAAGATGTACTTTTCTTACACTGGTAGCATACCTTTCTTGTGAGCTGGATTAATTTAACTGAGCTATGTATTGCAATCAAGCATTAAAATTAATGCTTTGGTTGGCATTTCAGTGCTTCATGGACATTCTAATTTTCAGCTGCTGGATTTGTTTGGACTTGTTGGGGCCTGACTCAAACATAGTGTTAGAGGAGTGAGATAAAATTTTGTGTGCAAATGCACACCCTCCACTAAGCAGTGTAAGTTCCCATTTCAGCTTCAAAACTCTTAGTCTAGGCGTTTCAAGTGACGCTGACATTTGACTGTCCAGCACAGAGTGAAGCCCATTCCTTTTCCAAGCATTTCAGTACTGAAAAATCATCTTTATAACCAAAATGGCCAGTTAGCTGGAACGTTTTAGCAGAGACACTGGTTGTGTTGGGAGGCTTAGAGCCTAAACCCTTTAATCACCTTTTCTGATGTGGCCCTCAGATCAGGCTGGAAGTGTCTGGCAGAAGGATGCTGTAAGGCAGCAAATACAGTGGCCTGTGCTGCTTGCTGTCTAATACTCTGTTGCCTTGCAATAATCAGGCAGAGAAAACATGCCGTTTGCGATCGCTAGTTTCTCTCTGTAATACAAATGTGGGCCTAATTTTAGCTTGAGAAGTAATACCAAATAATTCTGTTTTCTTATTGCTATGTGTTTGATCGCTTCCAATCTTTCGGCCCCAAGAGATAAGAAGTTACAAGTGCAGGTCAGGCTACAAAAAGGCTTGAAATGCTGCAGGGCTTTTTGTTTTAATCCCTTCAAGGTTTCAGTCTTTCTTGTGGTTCTGATGTAATGTGAGAAATTAAAACAAAAGACAGCAGCCAGATGGTACATCTCCAGGATCAGACAGATTAGTTTTTTAAAAAAGGGAAAAGTTTACCAATACTTACTGTCTTCTGGAGTTTTTGCTTCTGTGGAGCTCAAGCATCTGTCTTCTGCATGCTTCTACCAGTAGGCAAACAGTGGAATTACAGCTACTACCAGGTTAAAAAAAACACAACCCTCTAGCTTGCTTTCACTGAATGTCAAATAGACATGGTTGAAAGTCTGATTTTCTGGATCATAGGGTGTGCTTGCTGGGCAGTAGTCTAGAAGTTGACTCTGTTCATCCTTGCCTCAGGAGGTGCCCTAAACAGCTTCTGCAGCGGGCTCACTTTACTTGCTAAAAGCTGTTTTCAATTGATTAGTTTAAGACGAGGCTCTGAATTTGCGCTTTCCCTTTGCCCTGTTGTTTGGGAATTACTCCATTTTGTTAGCCTAAGTTGGCTTTGTGGTTAGAGAATATTTTCATGCACTCCAAGTTTCCCTTTTTAGGTTTTCATTGCTTTGATATTCCATTTAGATAGCTGTTCTGATTCAAATTATTGCATTTAAATAGTGTATAGTGTATATCTCTGATCCCAAGGGAAACTACAGAAGTTCTGTGATATGGAAGCTTTGAAATCATAATGTACTCGCATATATTTGGTTTCACGTTTTCTTCAGCATGTGCATTCAGCATGAAGGTGAAACCTTCATGTCACTGAAAAGAAAAGCAAACAGACCTCAAACTGAAAAATGAGGACATGGTTAAATGCGTTTTCTTTCCTTGGTTTTAGGGGACATCACACAAAAGGGGTATGAGAAGAAGAGAGCAAAGCTTCTGGCTCCGTATGTTCCACAAACCCAAGGTAAGTACTTGTTTCAGCTGCCGTAAGAATTTTGCATATCCTTGACATTAAAGGGATCTGTGGAATGGCTGTGGAGTGGAGCACTGAGATTTCATTTGCCAACTCTGAACTATTCTGTTTCATATGTGTTTTCTTAGCTATCTAATAATGACACTGTGCAGGTTGCATGGGTGCCGTGAAGTCATGGGCAGTAATTTGCCTCTAGTTTGCTTGTTCATATTGAACTCCAGGGATTGCTAGTAGTTCCAGAGCTGTTTGGTGGGTCTCTGTAGAGTGCTGTGTATTTCAACACTTTGCATGCCCTGTCTTTATCTCCCACATACATAAATCATGTCCTACTCCCTTGTCAGCTGAGGACTCGAAGGCTTTGAATCAATCGTGAAGTGTGAGGTCCTCAAGAATCATTCCTGAAACCTTCTTAAAAATGGCTTAACTGCAGAGTTGGTCTGTACTACCTCCTTCTTTCAGCCATCTTAACTCCTTGTTGGAGAAACATAAGAGTTTTCATTATTTGTTGGTTTATTTTACCAGAGTAGCTGAATTCATGTACTTTGTTTACATCTGTTTCTTTTGGTTCAAAGATCTTTAGCATTAAAACTGCTTGTATGTAGGATAATTATATATAATTGTAAACTGAAGGACATGGCTGAAAGTATGCCTAATAATTATTATGGGGATGCTTACCCAAAATAATTGCGCTGCTGATATGCTGAGATGCTTAACCATTAAAAACTAATGTGTCTGGCTCTTAGCAGTTTGGGCAGTGAATGGGTATGACAGGCAGTCATGACTGGACTTACTGTAATTTACTGAGACTGAACTACTGCCAAAAAAATGAAAAAAAGAGTGAAGGCTAAAAGTGCATTTATTGACCATCAGCACTGCATCTGCTGGGGAAAGATCGTAGAGGTTTTTTTCTGCTGAAATTACAGCAGTTCACTTCAGGCAATTGCTTGAGGAACATAAAAGGACTCTGCCACTGTCATGTGGTAACTTCTAGACTCTGCCACTTTATTCCTGCTCTCCTCCATCCCAGTTGTTTCTCAACTTTGTTTTGCTTGCATGTTCAACAAAAGCTGGTGCCCGTTCTCTTGTCCAAGACTTATTGCCATAGTGGGTGCTTTATACACAAAAGAATAGTGTGTTCTGTCTGAGCTAACATACTGAAGGTAGCAAGGCAAGCAAAAATTGTTTTTTAGCCTTCAAATTTGAGATTTTGTTACAAACAGCTCTCAGTACTGAGGACTGCCTCCCTGAACCAGGATGTGATAGGAATCTCTGATGACTCGATTGCTAGCTTTGTATCAAATCTGTTTCTGTTATTTAAAGAAACCAAAAAGTAATACACATGACTAATCCCTCTTCATGGTCTTTGTAAGTAGATATTTGTTAAGCAGGTTTTACAATCTCTCAGTCCAACATATGTATACCCGTGGAGATCTTGAGCCTTAGAAGGAAATGTGAGCTCCTTTTGTATGTTCAAGTGCCTTCTTGGCAGACTTGCTTTTGTCCTGGAGTCCGGTGGAGACTGAAGCTCTACAAGTCGCTTTTCATCTGATGACATGATCTTGTGCCCCTCATGCCTGTCACTTTGCACACGTTTGGTTTGTTTCAGAAAATGTTGTTTAATTAGGAGGAAAAAAAAGTGTTTGGCAAGACTGTCTGCGGCCCTGCGGCCCTGCTACTTTAATTGTCGCGCTTTTGAAAGCTGCAGAATGGGCCAAAGTTCAGGAAGAGACACAGGCTGATAGGAGGTCACCAATTAAGATAGCATTTTGACTGCTGTTCTGGCTCAGCCCTGCAACTTTTTATACATCTTATATCCAGCTGCCCCTGTGCTGTTGTAAAAATCCTGTTGAAGTCATGCATGAGGGATTCAGAGTCAGGTCACCTTGTTAATGAGAAGAAAATTAATTTAGTCCACAACAACAAAAAAATATTTACTCCTGGCATTTAGTGCATTACGTTTCTCAAAGCACCTTCCTGATGTTAGCTAACGTATTGTCTCCATTTCATAGATGTGAAATGAGACGAAGGTAGGTATGATGACATGTCAGGGCATGTCAGCATTATAATTTGGGAGATTCTTATTGCTAAATCTGTGCTCCATTCACATTGCCTCTGGGAGCTTGCCTCATTATTTTAGAGTTAAGGCAACAATGTTAATTACCTAAAGATACATGTTTTCCTGGTGCAACATCCATTTTTGTAAATGGAACTTGCTGAGGTGATGGAGCTGCGATACCAGAGTTGTTGCTCCTCTGTTACGTGCTGGCTGCTGCACAAAAGGCTTTGAAGAAAGTATTTTGAGCAGCTTCCCAGGTTGCGCATGTTAAGTGATGCTGCTGATTTCACTGTTGCCCAAACCAAAGCACGGAGGACAGGCATGCTTATTCCATGGTACACTACTGACTGTGAAAATAACGAAAGGCCACCCTGTTGTCATCTCATCCTTAATGTCTGAATGTGTACTACTGTAGCTAAACCATAAGTTCCCTTTTGAAACAGACTGGGGTCTCAGTGCTTTTAGATGTTGCTTTTATTGGAGTAACGCTGACATTTTCAAGTCGCCCTCAGAGTCATTTGTGAGGACCGAATATTTTTATGCCTATTTTAGGAGGCAATACTATGCTATTTTTTGCTATTTTGAAAAACGCTTTTTGGATGGCCAGATGAACTGCTCCGCTACTAAGAGGTGGTATAGTAGCTCACCACCTCTTGAAAGTAGTTTTTGCTGCAGACTACAGGCAAACTTCTGCCTAGAGAAAGAACTCCTGTCCATATTAGTTGCTGCAAATCTGGAAAAGCATTTACAACTCTTTAGCTCAAACGGAATGCCTTTTGCCAAAATTAGCAGCCCTTGCACATAAACTGTTGGCAGAGTATGTTTTCTTGCTATTTAAGATAATGCATTCGGTTCCTCTGCTAATGTGTAAAGGAAATTATATTCATTAAGCACTGATTCACTGTCAGAACCTTTTTATGTAACTGCTAGAGTGCTCTTGCTCTTGTTTTCTATTCTCATGATGATGAAAAAAAAAGAAAAAATTAAAAATTTTAAACAAGCAAAGAGAACGTTGGAGTACTTACTGTTTTTATTGAAAAGGTAAGATGAATGTGATCTGGTGGGTTTTGTATTCCAGTACCTCAGGGAAAGGTGTTGGAAGACAGGAGTAAATGCTTGTAAACCTGTGGAGATTGATAACATTTGAAGCTAATTTAATTGGTCTGTGAATTTTAGCCGTTAATGTAAGTTTTGTTGTTTTTTCTGCTTCATGTTATTCATGGATAGCACAAGGTGGGAACATTATAGATTCTGTTACTTTAGTGTTTCATTTCTATGAAATCATGGCACTATGGAAAAGAAGCATGTCTTCTTTGCTTCCCAAGTGGGCTGTCATATGTTTCCTGTCTCAGAAGAGTTCTTCCTGCCATCCTGTGTGTTGTGGACTGCCAATAAGCCAGCAGAACTCTACTCTAAACTTTTGCTATTATTCC